AACTTAATATATAAATTGCTTTTTTATCACCCTACTAGCTATTTTTCCAATGCAAAAGCTTTGAGAAATATATATATATATATATATATATAATTTTACATATAAAAAAGTTTATAAATATTTGTATAGGCAGAATAAATGGCAAAAGTATACTCTATCACTGAAAAATACCCCATAGATAAGTTAAGGAAAAATTCAAAAATCAAATCGTGCATATTAGTATGATATTTTATTTTTTATATATGATAAATATAAGGGGAAGATATGGAAAGCAGTATTATAAATTATAGATATGTTCAGCAAATTCAAAACTAGTGTTCCTCTAATATTAAAGAATAGTTTAAAGGTTGCTAAAGTATTCAAGAAAATTTATGATAACTCCAATAATTCTCTTACATACCTAACATTTCTATAATATAATGATGGTAAAAAATTCATAAGTAAAACTGCTCAATTAATCGAGTCACATAATATCACAATTTAAGTAATTAGTGCTTATAGTTATCATGGATTAGCTCTTATGAAAGTATTCAATAAGACATTAGTAATTATGCTTTATAAAATTTAATTTGCTATCGAAAGTATAACTTTGAACCCTAAATCAATAAGAACATAAGAAACATATTTGTTAGAAGTCACCATTATCTAAATAATTATCAATATATCTCATTAAAACTCTAGGTTCTACAAAGTGGAGTTTAGTTTTTAAACTAGTTATTCATTAAAACAAGTAAAATCTAGGTCTTTTACAAAATATAAGCATCCTATTGGGAAATATGAGAAAAATAAATTGAAGAAAGATAATATAATTTGTTATCTACTTGCTAATACAGAGTGGAAAGGAGGTATAGAAAACCAGAAATGTGTAATAGACTCAATATTCTCACCAAGCTTTTATAAAATTTGAAAAATCATAGTAATAAAAAATAAACAGTTTTATATTATCACAAAGATAATGATGATAAATATCTTCTATAACAGAGATTTGTGAAAGAGGAGCTAATGTACATAGATCTTGAAAAATTTAAGTATCCATCCCAAAGTATATTGAAAGAAAATAATTATTCCAGATCTGTTAATTTTATTCATATTATTAATGAAGTGGCTAAAATAAAGAGTATATAAAGAAGCGTAATGAAAAATGCCTTGATAAAACTGATCAAATAAATGATTTTGATATATATATTTGATCATGTAAAAATGGAAAGCATTGGTGATATGCACTTTATAAAACCCAGAAGCATAAATTTAAATAGTGCCCATATGTCCTTATTTTAAAGGGAAGTGATCTGTGAAATATATTTTTAAAGATCAGTTAGATAAGAAATTTCCATTTTGTAAACTGGCATTTTTGAATAGGATACAGTTAGATAGTTATAATGAAAGTTAAAATTAGCATTTGAATTCTAAGGTATTTATTATTTTTGTATTATTCCAAAACACTTCTATCTTAATGGCAAGGTCGATCTAGACAGTCAATAGATATGTGATAAAAAAACAAGATGTATGTAAAAGAAAGAGTATAGATCTTATTGAAATACTGTATACATATAAATTACTTCCTTATTTCAAAAGTGAATTACTTAAAAAAGTGTATTTAAAAAATACAGGTATTAATGAATATACTAATTGATAATATCTCATTAGTTGGTATGACTAAATAATATCATAATCTGAATGCAATTGCAATGAAATATTCAGATATCCTACTATTAATACCAATAAAATGTCTTTAAATTTATATTGTAGATGTATTATAATTTTATTAGTAATGTTATAAGGGATATTTAATAAAACTTTTTCACATTCTTTTTACATTATGGGTAATTATTTTCGAAGGCGGACAGGGATTTTTCGGACCTTAGAATTGTGATCCTAAAATTTGCATTATATACGTATTATTAAAAAATGGGGGCCGAAAAAATCATATTTAATATTTTGATCGCCTTCAAGAATAATTGCCCTTATACATATTAATCACCTGATATATATTAATCAATCTCCTTTACTATTATATTCAATACGAAGCAAGAAATGAAAATTATTTAACATAATATTGGTTGCCATTCTTTGATTTGCAATAATTTTTTGAAATAATCATTGATCTTTCTTTATTTTTGAAAAACGAATCTCATTGAGTTTGAAACCTATAAATTTAGAAATTATTTATGAAGTTCAGTCATTTTAGATTGCTATATAATATATAGTATTTAATTTATAAATCAAAAATAATATAGTTTTGTTTAAAAATAAGTAGTAATTTGTGTCATTAATGTTTAATATAATAGTTAGTGACAAGATGAAAATAGAAAAGCTTGATCCTGTTGAAAGAATAGTTTTAAATATTGACAAATGCAAAAATATAGAAAGATTTAATGACCTTAATAGCACACCTCAATGGCCTTTCAATTTATTGGTTTCAATGCGAACTAAATCGGGAAAAACTAATGAAGTTATCAACTTTTTACTTGAAAATAAAATATATTGATTGTTTAGTGGGAAAAAAGGTAGAATGAGATATATTAAGAATAAGGATTTAGTTTTGATCAATCATCAAATTAATGAACCCAAGTATAAATATTTTTGTGATTGTTATAAAATAATTGTAAATAGCCTTAAACAATATTGTGAAGATATTACAGTACATTTCGAGCAATAAAACCTGATAAAATGTCAAAAGCTGAAGATTTTTCTCCTGAAAGAGAAACAGTAAATATATTCAAAGATATGTACAGAACCTAAAAAAAATACAAGAAAAAATTGCTTGTTATTTTACTAAAGGGTGTCATAAAAATATTAGTAATATATATACTACACAATCCTTCTTTGACTATCCAAAATTAATAAGAAAAAATCTTGATTATATTGTTCTCTTTAATGGCAGTGGGACATATGATGAACTAGTTAGCATTGCCTAATAATATACAAAAAAATGGCATGATGTTGTCAAAATACTTGATAAAAATTTGCAAGGTAGAGAATTTATTGTTATTGATTTAACTAGAGCAAAAGAAGATCCTCTATATATTTGCAAAGGATTGGACCAACCTCTTGATCTTTCTAATAAGTAGGCTTGAAGAGCCATGAGTGTAACTCACCCCTATGGGCCTGCTCTGCAATAGAGTGAGATTTCTAATACTGAATAATAATTATTTTATTCCTTATTTATTAATACAATAATATAATATACATCTTATTAGAAACTTCTATTAAGAATCTGTCTGTATCCAGTAGTGATTAAAATTTAAGTAGATGTGAAATAATAGAAAATGGGTTGATATATAAAAATCAAAGCAAAAAATGTTACCAGTTTTTCTTTAAAAAAGATAATAAAATAAAGTCTAAAGTATTATGCTCCTATTTCTAAAAGTCACTTTCGAAATCTAATCTGCAATTGACTCTTTTTAGAACTTATCCAATTAACTGGAATATAATATTCTTCATATTGTCTATTAATAATAGAACTGCACATCATAAGATCATTTTTATATAATTCAATCCATTTACTATGCCATTGATTAAATTGTTCCCAAGTCAGAAGATTTTTCACTTTATATTTCATTAAACCTAGAAATTTCTTATCATTAGAAGTACCATCATTTCTCATTGCATTCCAAGCTTGGGTTGCTATTGATTTGGGTCTATTCTTATAATTTCTCCAAGCTCTTTGTATAATCCTTGCTTTTCCGAAATCAGTCTTTGGTTTATTGCATTTATTATTCCAATGACCGATCATCAAATCACTAGGTATAAGATAATCAACATATCTTCGTTTAGTAAAATGGAATGTTTTTTTGGGCTGTACATCATTAAGTTCCAGCAACCAAAACAAATAGCCATATGACTTTTATGGATTCTTGGTCTATAATAATTAAAATTGACAAATTTACCTTTACCAAATGATGCGAATAAACATAGCCGGTGATATACACTAAATTTCCCAGTATTTAATAAATTCTGTAAAGGTACTCTGACCCGTATTGCCCATTGAACCGGTGTTTCATTCTGTTTTATGATAGATAATGTATCAAATAATCTCTAATTATCGAAAATTTGATTGAGTTTATTAGCATAGGTTCCACCATAATGTAATATATACGATACAGCATACTTCATATCAAAACCAGGACGATTAATATATGGTTTAGGAAATGTCTTATCTTTTTTATCAATAATAGTAGCGATATCAAAACCAGGCATATTTAGACCTATTTGATTTAATAACTATACTTTAAAATATTATGATTCATTTTTAGTGCGAATTGGGTTATTAGATGCGTTGTGTATAATCGACATATTTTGCGCGAGTGATGTATATGATGAAAATGGGAGAGAATTCCAAATGTGGGTATTAACCTCCGTGAATAGTGTGAATAGTGGACCAATTCTAATAATCAATCGACCTTGTAACTAACCCAATTAATTAATAATCTCACTTTCGATCTGCGTTCTTAAATGAGCGGAAGTAACTTAGCTAGGTAATGCGTAACTATTCGCTGGATATAGATTTCATGTAACTAACCAATCGCAAAAATAATAATGTCAATATTCCTTCCGGGGTATATAGCCATTCCATGGCTAAAAATAAATTCACATTAGACGAGGGAAAAATCACGTGCGCGTTCCGAAAAGGAACACTGCCAAATCAAGTTGAGTATAGGACGAGATGATGATTTTGGATACATATTTACAATGAATGTACTGTGAATTTATTTGCAAATGATCGATTATTTTTTTTTTTTGACATTTGTTGGTAACACAACATAAAAGCCAAACTAATTTCCATTTAGTGAATTAAATCAACGGCTCAGCATTTGGTAATCCTGGACATGGCGACGCAGGATATAATCTTCTAATATTATTCACTTTAGTGCATAATTTCATTTTCTTTGGTGTAGACATACACACAGATAACTTATGTTGACTCTCGTCTCGAGGTCGTTTTCGGAGCCCGACACTCTTAAATGATTTTGTAGCCTGTCCTCCTGTTTGAACCATCTTTACTGTCTCTTGGACTACAGATTAACATTTACAAATATTTCAACATTGTATAATAAAACATAGAACGAAAAGCATGAATCTAACCTTTGCATTCAGAACAGATGCCAGGGTCGTTAAAACGGAATCGAATTTTTCTACTGTGTCTGGGCTTCCGTCAGATCGCAACGCCGAAACCTGCAGATGTAACCTTTAGGGTTGGCAGCATATACTATTGTCATCGTGAGGCCTATTACAGAATTAATGTATTGATTAAGTTACACGCATTTGAAAAATAAGTCGCAAGTTCAGGCACATACCTGCATGAATAATGCCTATTGTTTACATTTGTTTGCGCACCTCTTCGTTCCACTTTATTCTTTCCATCAGATTTACTAACATGTCTTTGAGCGTCTTGGGGAGTTTTAACCCAATTTCTCTAATGTACTTTGTGCCATTTTCGTCAACCCAATCCTTACCCGCCTCCCCAGCCCCAAACTCATCTTTTTTGCCGTTACCAACAGCCTTGAGAATCCAATCCCCTCTGCGACCGATTTTACGCCGTCCCTTTGATTTCCTTTTTTTATTTTTTCGTGTCGCAGTTGATATGCTTGTGCTTTCGCCCCTTGATTATAAAAAACCTAGTCAGATCAAAAGAAGCTACTTTTTAAAGATAAAAAAATTTACCTGACTACAGCTATCGCCCTTATGTCTCCGAATGCTTGATCAAACACTACACTCCATACATGGCAGTTATACCAATTCTCGAGATTCGTGTCCTTGATACTACCGTTTTGTATTTCCCTCACCCTGTAGGCAGTTTTCAGTCAATTAACCATTGGCACATAAATTTTAGCAAAATCATAGAACAAAAATAAAATAAAAAGAATACTTACAATGAATGCAAAGCAAGACATATATAATCCAGGTCATGGTGTTTCTCATGGTCATAGTCTTTACCAAAACTTGATTCTTTTATTATTTGACGGATTTCATTTAAGTTCGTCTACAACAAAAGAGAAAGAACCTGTGGCTTATTTGCGATACACATATACAGGTAAATGAAATATTTCTTACCTTGCCAAGGAATTTATTTAGAAACTCATCAATTTCATTAGAGAGCTCTGGTACTTCTGGAATAGATGTGTTGTCTATCTCTCAAAGTTCTGTCTCTGTAAAATGTTCCATAATCAATTCATCTTCAACATCGAGGATAAACGAATGAACGGCGCTAGGGAATAACAATTTAGTACAATTGTGCCTACGCTACTAAACAAACATAATTAAATGCATGAATACAAACTGCTCGAACTCTAATCTTTTCCCCAGCTTATACAATTCTTCTTCTACGAATTTTCCAGATGAGAGTTTCCACATATATTGCTTGTCCATTAAGTTATAAGCTGTGTCAATTTCCCTTCGATTGGCCTCGCTCAGTCTAAGTGGTCCCGTCTAAATGGCAAGAACATAAATTCTTATCAGTATTTAGTATACACAAAAAAACCGAGACTAGAAGTCTAATGAGATTTACTTTGTTTGTCTTCACATCATTGCTCGCCTCCACCTCTTCTTGATCATCAATCGCCTCCTTCAAGAGTAGATGTGGTGAGGATTGTAAACATTTATAAGCTAACAACATATGCCAGATATAATTTACCTCATTATCTGCTGTATCCAAATCCGAATCGGCATCATCTTGTAATTCATGATCGGCCTAAGAAAGATTTCCATAATTAGCAATTATTTGAATAGTAATAATTGAGCATAATGTGGATATTACCTTGTTGCCCGTTTCGTTGGAAATATCTTGTTCAATTTCCGATTTCCGCAAAAACAGATTGGATGATTGTCGTTCGGAAGGACTTTGAAAGAAGTTGTCAATCTCGTTATTTAAATCCTACATAAATATAAGGGACATTAAAATAAATTTGCAATTTAAACATTAGCTATTTCTTCTGATCCTCACGACTTCTAGCTAACAAAATATATCGTACTTTTTCCCGATCTCTTTTTGATTCGGATGATCCAGCAATGAACCCATTTATACTTCCAACTCTTCCTATTGTTCCGTTGTTTACAGCCCCATTGATCGTCCCATCTACAAACATCGGCAGATGGAGATGGAGCACACGGGAGCGTTCTCTTTCCCATTTTTTTGCTATTTTATCATCGGATCCCTTGCATGAACGAGAAATTAGTAGTATTCTGACTAATAGACCTAAACCAAATTTGATTTTTCCATCCCATTCAAACATCAACTAAACCTAAAGTTTAAATGTGCCCTCATGGGTCCAGCACTGGCTCGACCTAAAGACTTGTAACATCAGGCGAACCTAAAGATCACCTGTGCCCCAGCACTGGTTTGGTGGCTCGACCTAAAGACTTGAATGACAAAGAATCCTGAAGATTCTATGCCACGCCACTTACTCTATCTACATTAATAAAAAAAGAACTTCTACTTGCCTCCTTATAATCATTCAGGAGAAGTTGTGCCCTTTCTTGCCTCTTCCCTTGTTCATTGTCATTGATAGTCTCTAGACTTTTTATATACAAACCAATCTTCAACTTAAACGGTTCCTCCTTACTTTCGTTTAAAAACTCGGTAATGTTTCATCTTGTACATTTTTGCTTAAAATAATCGTGTATTTTGGGACGAGACATTTTACTGACAGATATGGTTAAAAAAATTTTTTTGTGTCACACAGATCAGCTATTTCAAAGTCACATGATTCTTATCGTAAAGATTTATTATTGAGTCCCAGCATCAGGTTATTTCTTTGCTCTCGAATTTTCGAAAAATATCTATAACTAATTTATTCCCATCACAACTATTAACTACAAAATTCTCACCTCCACACCCTTTTACCATACTAGATTTCCGAAATAAATTATCCCACCCATATTTACAGAATTTTATATCTCTCCCAAATATACAAAATAATTATTTCTCGAAAGAGAACTTCTCTGAGATTAAGAAATTTCGAACCTAAGTATAAGTTCGGAAGATTAGTAACTGAAGTAAAAAAAAAATAAGTAATATTTCCGATTACACTTACCACTAAGATTCATTTTTAGAACATTCCAGTCTGTCTCATTCTTAAGAAATAATTTTTTCTTTATCAGTACGATACTGCGCCAAGTATCAAGAATTCGACACGTTATCATAAATTTTATTTCGCTGATGGTATGAGAAATTATTTTGTGATAGTCAAAGATTTTCTCGGCGAAGATCAAAATGCCGATATATATCAAGAGTAATATGTCCGTTTTATTTTGGGACATCTATAGAGGCGGGAAAATAGTTTAACACCGTGATGATATGTTTCAAGAAGCCAACCCGAAACATAAACCAACCTACTTTATTATTACTTTGTGGATTATACTCGTTTGATCAAGGATATTAACTTTGTAAATATTGGTAAGTTTGATTAGATTTTATTAGTTTATTTGATTTTGCGCAAGACAGATAAAAGGGTTTACTAACTGCCTCACCTTCTTTTATATGATTTGTAATGGGTCTAAGTTTCGATTTTTGGAATAACCCTTTTAAGGTAAATACGTTATTATAATTCATCATGAAGACCAGCACTCATTAATTTATAATAGAAAAATTTAACGCTATCCCGTATATAAGGACCATTTTTTTTTCACGTAGAGAAGATGCGAGAATGATTTTTTTGACTTGATAGAAAACGTAATCAGGTATTAGCATTTCTTTATTACTAATAGTATATATTCGAAGATAATCATGTAAATAATCCCACAGACTAAGAATGGACGTTAATTCAGTTTAATGAGCGAGAGACTATGTAATGCTGATAAATCGTGGATCGCTTAACTGGTCATCGCATTACCCACAAATAATTATGAAGTTTAAAAATAAGTCGGTATTTTTATGAACATTATGTCCGAAATGTTTATTCTTAGTGAAGTTCATCATTAACAAAAAAAATATTTAACATTTAAACGTATTTCTAGTCTATTATTACATATTCTAATCAACTCTGAGACGGATATGGAAGAATTTTCTATATTCAATCCTGCAGTGGATGAATGAGAATTGTTTACATTCGAGTTTAATGTATTTAAGATCGAACTGTCTATAACCGGTGCCTTGTCATTAGGTGGGCGAAACATAAAATCAAAGACAGAACTATCTTTTGGAAAAACTGCTTTATTCACTCGGACATGTTCATTAGTATTTTTAGTAATTTTTGAAGTTCCGAGTATTCGCAAAGAGTATGGACATTTATTTGCACAAGCCGTGATATTTTTAAGTCTCATACCGAACGTTGATATATGGTATGACATTTTTTTCTGATCGCTACTATTGGCAACAGTTAAGGTTTTAATATCCCAATCTGGATAAATCTCAATGCATAGCTCTCTAAAAGCCCCGATTAAAGCATAATAAGCTTCTTTACGCGTGAGTTTTGGTTCGATACTATTTAATGTTTCTTGGGATAAATCAAAATCAATAAATGGACGAAGTGGATCATCTCCATCAATAATTTCGTGTAGTGAATGTCCCTGACGCTCTGTAAATATAGCTTCTATTCCATCTTCTGTATCTGTCCCGAGGAATTGTCTTGGTCTTACACTGTCATCACGAATTTTATACCTATATTCGGCCACACTTTCGGCTTTGGCCCCCCGGTGGTAGAAGGCCCCGTCCCCCCTTCCTCTATCTCTGGCGCGCGATTAATATTTTCTATTGTGGAACAATGAGCTTTGCTTTGGAAATTTTGGGTATTCATGGCTGGTATAGTCATGTTGTTTTTGTAATATATTATCCTGATAAAAAAGTTCAAATCGAAAATAATTATTGAATATTTTTACCCGAGATAATATTATACGGAATCAAGTAAGTTTCGACAAATAATAATCGATGACAGGAACTTATATTTGTCAGTATCTTACTAATGATGGGAAGATCTGTGATCGACCTTGCTATCGGCAAGAAGGATGTGCTATTCATTGGATAAGGCGTCAACGCGTCCCCTGTTTAGAATGTGGTAAACCGACTGCGTCTAAGTATAGCTTATGTAATTTACATGCGGATAAATGTCACGCTAAAGCCTTTTATTATCGGAATAAGCTATCTAAAATGGTATAGAACGGGCAAACAATAGAATCTTTAACGCGGATCCTCGATGAAACTAAATTCTTGTCCATTGTCCCTAGAAAAAACTGACCCTAGAAAAAAAATATAGTTAGGGCCGGAAGTGAGGCCAACGATTTGGCGTTTTTCAGACCAAAGAATCTTTTTTTGGATAGCTGTCCCTAGAGGTCCTAGTTGGCCTTAAAAATCTCGAGTTTCTTACTTTTTATTTTTCTTTGTTTATCATACATATATGTTATTTGTATATACATATATACGTATTATCTATTATATATAGTAAGTACCATAGAGTAATTCTATTTTTTTAGAATCTTAGTTTTTCCTAGGGTTACTAGGGTTACTAGGGACAAGGATAAAAGAAAGGAATCAAACAGCTTCAGAAAGTCAAAAAGCTGGCCTTGGCATTTTGATAACATTTTTTTCATGATATACTTAGTATACATATTTGATAGCATTAATAGATAGTATAACCAGATAGAGTGTATAAGTGATACGTATACATATGTGGTAGCAATTAGATAGCATTAATTGATAGCATTTACATGACGACATGTTCAACAGCATTCCCCAATAACATTTAATGTATGTTGTATATGTTGATAGAAATTGCGTATACATGTTTGATAGCATATCCAATAGTAGGAGTATAGCATAACCGATAGCAATAGGTAGGTAACATTGGACCAGCAAATGACGATACATAACTGAATACATCATTGGTTTTTTTTTTTTGCCTATGTGAGCCAATGACAGAAATCAGATACGGTTGCCAAACTAGCATACAAATATCGTAATCAACTCGTCAAACTCACGTTAAGGCTAACAAGTCAGCATAACCTAACTCGGCTATTTTATTGCAATGGAAATCGGTTGGGAACGTTAAGCCAACATACGATATCAAATGACATATAAAATGTATTCAATTCATCAAACTCGTGATAACAATACGGGGGCATCATAATCTAAATCAGTTATTCTATTGTAGTGAAAATCATCCACAAACACAAACCGGTATACAATATATATTATCCAAAAAAAAGATACAAAAATGACTTCTTAGGTTCAAGCTATTCTTATAAGTAAAAGTTCACTCCAGGACCTCTTAAATATTGGAGAAATAGGATCAAGCAAGTTTAGAGTTTAATATATCCAAGGTGGAAAAAAAAAAGGAGAGAATTAAATAAAAGTTTGAATTTAAATATCAATATTCATGGGTTTTTAAGAAGTATTTCTATATGAAAATTGAATATATTCATTATAACTGGACCTCATTTAATAAAATTATCAAACACTAAAATTTTTAAAAAACTCTTTCCGCTAATCCTCATTTTTTTCAAAAATTTCCTTTTTTGGTAATTTTCTTGGAAAAAGTGAACCAGTTCAAACATGCAAGAAAAAACAACATATTCTTTAAACCAAACTGCCAAACATTTTCAATACATATACAATAAGTTATCCAAAAACATCAAAGAAAGAGATATACACTGCTTTACTAATTTCTTTTACTTTTTTTTTAAAAAAATTTCAGGAAAAAAAAAAAGAGACCTGCAAACTTATTTACAGTCAGAAAAAGGGAGTCAATATCAACTTCACATAGCCAGGCTTGTACAGGTTAACACCTTTCTTGATACTATAAGGAACTCAAAAAGCAACTAAGCCCACTTGATAAATCAAGTTGCTTCAGTTACTCAAAAATCCAGAAGAATATCAAAGCTCCCTAAAGACAAGACAGCCTAAATGTACATATATACATAAACAACTTATCTATCCCTTATCTTGTCATGCAAACACAAACACATAAAAAGCAGACAAGCAAAACAAGTATACGTGTAAAAGTGACAAGTAAAACATATATGTACATACAATATATAACTTGTTATCTAAACAAGTTGATCGACACTCCATACAAGTATGACAGCAACTCTAAAAAATAGTTAAGATTGTCAATATAAAAAAATAAATATATCTAAATAAAAAATAAGGTTT